GACTGCCCTATAAGTTTCCAGAGCGCGGTGTTTAATTAACTAAAGCCCAGATATAAATTTACATCTTTATGTTACAAAGCAATTGGAAAAAAGCGAATTACAGTGCACAGTCAGAAGTTAATTTTCCTTAAATTTCCTTAATTTGTTGCTGTGTCAATTAAAGGATCTAGAACTTAAAGACGTATATATTTTATTCATACGCCCAATGAGAAGTTTTCAAGAGAAATCGACCAATTTCGATTCAATGTTAACTAGGAGGTATACTGGATCGATACTAATCGAGATATATTCAGTCAATAACTTTGAATGCATGTGCTCGGTATTAAGTGAAAAATATATCCATTCCATAGCTTCGGAGATTGGACAGACCATTCCCTTATGCACTAATTTCTTAACATTCTTTGTGTCTATATATATATATATATATATACACAGATACCTAATCGAGATTAAAATTCTTCATACGACTTCCATACATCTGTGCCAATTGATTTGTGCTCTCAAATAAAGGGGCCTGTTGTGTTTCCAGCCCCTTGCTTAATTAGACCGCCAGCCGTTCTGTTGTGTACGATGGGTCATCTATAGCCAAGGCATGGGCACCGGTAAAACAAAGAACATAGGGTGTGGTAAGTGGAGTAAAGTTACGTAACAAATGCAGTTATTTTCAGATGCCATTAATGCAATAAATGGGTGCACTATACGCATATATACTATGATACAAGCCGGAAGGTCGCTGGTTCGATTCTCGTTGAGGTCATTGGAATTTTCAGTTGGCCTAATTCTTCCAGCCGCACTGTGGCCCTTGGGTCGACTCAACCTCTAAGAGAAATTAGTAACAGGAATCTTCCTGGGGGTAAAGGGCAGCCGGCGCATAAGGCTGACAACATCACCGCCATCTGTGAATCGATTGTCTAGAAATTGTTGGAGCCTCGACGTCTCACAGGCCTCCACGGCCTGTTATAGAGATAGCTGTACATTTTTTACCTTTACCATTAATATAATAAATGCAGTTCATGTTTTTGTTCTGTATGAAATATGAATTTGCTTGTACTAAAGTGTCAGTATTTTATTCAAATTTTGATTTTCTAGCACGTTTGTGTTGCCCGGACATTTGCTTTTAGCTAACTCTCCCTGAGTTTTCTGTGAATACAGTGAACGTTTAATTGCCGTCTCTTTATTTTAAGAAAATTACTAATTGGAAATTAAATCTTTTTTTCCTTTCTCTAATATGAGGTCAGTCATGCTTTATATCGTAAGGTATGATATTTGATCTCAGAGCTATCCAGTTTCTTGGTTGAGAATTTTAACTCTCTGCCAAGTCATGGAAGTGTTTTTCCATACTTTATAGGCATGGATCCAGGGATAAATTTAGCGGAGGGCGTATTTATTAACCATTAAAATATAAACTCTCTGGGTCATAAAAGTGGCGCTTTACGAGTAAATGTAGCAATACCATAGCTACTTATTGGAAGCAAGTTTACATGATTAAATTTTAAAAGCATGAAGTTTATCTTAATAATTTTTAAAAATTCAATCCATATTACTCACGAAACACAAAGACAAACTGGTTAATGCTTTCTAAGGAAATCCAAAAACATAAAAATTGGAACATACAAAACTATAATTTTTCCTGTGGTTCTGTATGGGTGTGAAACTTGGTCTCTGACATTAAGGGGGGAAAATAGACTGAGGGTGTTTGAGAACAGGGTGTTGAGAATATTTGGACCGAAGAGAGATGAAGTGACAGGTGGTTGGAAAAACTGCATAATGAGGAGCTCAAAATGTATCTTAGAGAGATAGGATGAAGTGGTATGGATTGGATTTATCTGGCTCAGGNGCCCATAGTTGCAACACTGACTGCGCCATCTTTTCTCGTTTGCTTCACACAGGCTGCAGCATTTGAAAATGTAGGATCAGACCACCGCAAGACTGTAGCAATGGGAATCACGCTGAAATATTCGTACATCGAACCCGAAACAGGGTTCGAACCAATTAATTAATTGTTTATGGTCTCGAAAGTCTTGGTTGTGTTGCGCAATACTTTCTCCAACTTATGTATTAATAATGACAGCCTCTGTGGTCTAGTGGTCAGTGTTCCTGCCTACAGATCCAGAAGTCCCGGGTTCGATTCACTACGCTACTAGATTTTCTGAGGAGTGGTGGGTCTGAAACGAGGTCCACTCCGCCTCATGAGGATAACAGCCACTATTTCAAGGAAATAGCGGCTCCGGTCTAGGAATCCGAAATTAACGGCCGTGGGGATTTGTTGCCCTGACCACGCGAGACCCTCTATCCGCTAAAGTCGGCACGAACTTCGCTCGGTCGCTACAGTTCGCTTGCGGACTACAGGCCACGGAGTTCGTTTCCCTCCCTCAATCAGAGGTATGTCTTTGTCATAACCTCCTTGACTTTGTTACCC